CTGCAGATGATCTACCTTTAGACTACGAAAGCATTATTGTCAAAATATATTCATTTTTTTATATTTACACTGTTCGAGTGGAAGCTCTCAAGGAGTTTTGCGCTGAAGCTGAAATAGAACATCACCAAATGCTTGGCTACAGTAAAACCAGGTGGCTTGCGCTTATGCCTGCTTTGGAGAGAGTTTTAAAAATGTTCCAACCGTTAAAAGACTATTTTTTGAGCATTGAAAAATGTCCCAAATTGTTGAAAAACTTTTTTGAACATCCCACGTCATCTCAAAGACAATTTGGCACAGAAACAGATCAACCGGTTTCTTCCATTTACTGTTCGTAGTTTAATTGTGAAACTAAATGATAATGGCACTAATATTAATGAAGACTTGGTGAAAAATACGTCAACAGAATTTTATAAAACTAGCCGTGAATACTTGGAACAGAGTACTTGCTTTCTTACTAAAGAAATAGAGATATTTAATTGGGCAGATTTAAGAAAAGTACTCGGGAAGATATTCAAAACGCAGTGGATATATTGATTGAAAAGGGATATATTCACTGTAATAAAGATGCAGAAGTATTTGACGAATTCACATTAATTTCAAACTACGTCCCTACCCAAAAAATTACCGAATGGGGTAATTTAAAAGTCTCAACAGAAACTCGTTGGATGGAAGTATTCAAACACTTTCGTTCTAACAATGTTAAACATGAAAATTTTTGTATTTTAATTGAATACATTTTATGTCTACCTGGAACAAATGCTCCAGTAGAAAGAGTGGACATCCGAAAAAAATCATTTACAGGTTCCAGTGTTGAAAGCGATGTTGATAACTAAGGTTAATGTAAAAAAAAAACGTGCCAAGAATTTATTCTTATTTAAAGTCATCGCAAACTTTATTAAAGCAAATTTGTTCCTCTGAAAAGTATAAAAACAATTTAAAAAAAATGCGTTGCATAGATTTTAATAATTATTGACAGATCAAAGTTCCTTGATTAGTAAAGCTGGTGATTGATGTTAATTTTTCACTGCTTTTTATTTTTTAAATTACTTAATTAATATGAAAATAATTATAGTGTATAATTCCATTAAGTAACACTTATTCTAAATAAAGAAAATTAAAAAGTTGTGTTTATTTTCTTTGTTGGCCTGAAGGTTAAATGTAAAGGTCTGACGGGAAATTTAAATTTTAAACAGTTTTTAAATATCGATTTAGAGTAACGTTAATAAATATTTTTTATTGTCGCGAAATCGAAAACCCTATCTAAGTTTTGCCTAATTTGGCTACAATTAAAAAAAATACTGTTTAAAATTTGAATTTCCCGCCAGACGTTTAACCTGAAGCTTAAATTTTTTGTCCCGTTTTGAGTTAAAAAATAAATGGTCACTTTAGGCATCCTGCTATTTTTTTGGCTTTTGCAGTTTGTTCTCTTATTTCGTCCTCTGTTATTATCATATGAAAATCAAATTCTTAAATATTTTATGTTCATTACCTGCCCTATAATTTCGTTATCAAGTTCCAGTTTACATCCAAATGGTTCTTTAGAGATTAAATAATAAAGGGCTCAATGAGTCTCCTTGCCTAATACCTGTGGTTACATCTATGTTCTCAATTATATCTTTTCGATTAGTTTTATTATATTAAATGGGATATTTCTGTTATAAAGTATATGTATCACGTCCTGTAGCTGCACTTTATCGAATGCTTCTTCTAAGTCTATAAAGCATAAGAACACTGGCCCATTGTACTCAATTGATTTTTATATAATTTATCTAATTGCAAATATTGCGTCATTCCACGTCTGAAACCTTGTTGCCCTTCAGATAGTTTTACAAGTGGAGTTATTTTTTAGTTAATTTTATTAATTTAATTACATTAACTTATAGGAATCTGAGTTATTGTTTGGTGGGCCAAATGACCGCAAAAGAAGAAATACCGAGTTCTCATTTCATGAGTAATATGCATCTGGCTGTAGACGCTAGGGGGCGCTGTCGTAAAACTTCTTCTTCTTTTTCTTCTTTTGGGGTTGGCGCTGCTACTAGGCAATTTGCCAGCACTGTTTGGAACTGCCCCAGATTATCGATAATGTTCTTCTGGGGAAATTTACTTTTCATACTTCTGGTTCTATTTAAGAGGCATCTAAAGCTGCTAAGGAGATAGGGTCAGTTAGTAGGCAAATTCAGAGCTTACAAAAAATACAGACAAACAGGCAAGACTGTCACATCTAAAAACAAAAAAGGACAAACAAATTTCAGCACTATGGAACTTGGGACGGGCGTTCCTGGCTCAGGATGGACCATGGGACCAGGCTCGTCAGATTTGAGACAAAACAACAGAATCAAATAGATACAATTTAAAATTCCCTAGTATTGTTACTAGGGAGAGGCTGTCTGACCTCGACTTCTAACTTAAAGTTTTATCCTATTATTATCTAAAAAGTATCTGACCATTTGTGTGATCTCCGCACTCGGGATGCTTAACATATTTTCAACACAAAGTGGTAAGTTAAGTCCGAAATTTCTAAACTATACGTATAAATCCACACCCGGGACCTTTGTTATATGGCACTCGGAAAATATATGATTAAGGTTCTCAACCCCGCCGCACTCGCAGAAAGGAGAGTCCCTAACCCCTATCCGGGCCAGGTGTTCCCCCACCGCACAGTGTCCAGTTCTCATTCTAATTATAGGAGTTATATGGCGTCTGTCTATGTAGGCAAGCTCAGAAAACCATCTTCTATTAGGAAAATTACGTTGTATTAACCATTAGTAAAATCTCTAAGAATTGTATTCTTCGCGTCATGATAGATAGATAGATAGATAGATAGATAGATTATTTATTCACAAAACCAGGTGATACAATGGATGTTTCGTCAGTAAATACAAATAATAAATTACAAGTTTCGTTGTAAAAACAATGTATATCATAATCTTAAGAAATGTATAGGACGAATACGAGTATAAATTTATATAACGAACATGACAAACAAGTTAATGTAATTTAAAATAAAAGAGAGTATACGTTAGAAAAATCTCGGTAAACTTTTAACGTTATTTACGATGCTCTCAGGTACGCTTCAAATTCTTTCAGGCTGTAGAAAGCATTGCCCGTCAGGAGCCTCTTGATGTGTTTTTTAAATTGATTTAAGGATAAATTTTTTAAGCTTGGAGACAGCAAATTATAATAATATGGTCCCGCGTAACTTAGTGATTTTTTATAAAACATATGGTTGAATTTTGGCTTCGGCAGATGTTCTCTATTGCGAGTATTGTAACTGTGGACATCAGTATGCTTCCTGTGTGAATATTTATTTTTATGTGTGATCAAGAGGATTTTAAATAGGTATATACAAGGCATTGTTAATATTTTGAGCTGTTGAAATGTCTCTTTGCATGATTGCCTCGGAGGAAGTTTAAAAATCAGCCTAAGTATTCTTTCTTGCTGTATAAACACTCTCTCAGCATCATTCGCTTGTCCCCAGTTGACAATATTGTGTGAAATGGAAGAGTAAGCTGACGCGTAGTAAAAAGCTATTAGTGCCTTCTCAAGAAATGAATCTCTAATTGTTAATATTGCGAAAAAGGTTTTATTTAGTTTATTGCAGACATTGTCAATGTCCCGGTCCCATCTCAAGGAGCTATCAATATAAGAACCAAGAAACTTCGTGGTCTGATTTATTTCCAATGGCGAACCAGCAAAACTGATCGATAAGCCAGCTAAAGGTTTAATATACTGACCAGTAAACTCAACCACGACTGTCTTTTCCACATTCACGATCAAATGATTTTGCCTACAGAAGTTATTAAACTGTGAGACAACAAGAGATACATCATCCATCAACACTTCTGCATCTCTTCCAGAGACAAAGACGGACGTATCGTCCGCGTACATAAAGACGCGACAGTCGCTGTTGAGAAATTCCGGCAAATCGTTCACATATAAAAGAAACAATAATGGACCCAAAGTTCCCCCCTGAGGCGTGCCCAGGCTGACGCTATAAAGGTCTGAGTACGTTCCATCTATTTTGACACTTATTTTCCTATGGTTCATATACGATATGATCCAATCATTGATAGGCCCCCTGATTCCCAAGCATTCCAGCTTCTTTGCCATTATACTGAAGGTTCAGGAGTCAAAGGCGCGCGATAAATCGAAAAAAACTCCGATTACTGTCTCTCCGATATCTACTTTATCATAAATATGCTGGACATGTGTGTCCAGTTCGATATTCAAGCGGATGTTTAGATGTTAGCTTCTCAATACAACAGTAATTTATTATTATTAATGTGTAATTTATATAAGTCTAAAGACTTCAAAAATGAAGCCGTCAAAATTTATAACTCCGCCTTATCCCTATTTCCGATAGCGTTGAAAGGATCGATAGGGAAACTAATTTAATTAGACCCGACTTTTATTGTGCCGCCATAAAGTTCCGATAATATAAAATTCGATTTTAAATTGCAACCGTTTTATACACACACACACACACACACACACACACACACACACACACACACACACACATACACTTTCAAATAAGGTCTACGCCGGTTGTAAATTTTATTTTTATGCTCCGAACTATAATGTAACTTTAAGTGCCTAAAAGTGGGCCAAGTTTCACACTTTATCCGGTCGCATCGCCATCAACGTCCAATTTCCGATGCTCCTCAACATTCGTCTCCATTCTCGTTTGAACAAAAACGACAAAAACTGTCGCTCTAACTATCCGCGTTATTTCAAATATTTCAACTTTTTTTATTGCCCGAAATAGACTCGTGCTTCCAAAAGTGAAGTTTATGTACACGCAACGTTGTCAAGTTTCGCCAGGATCTTCAGTATTATTTGTTTTGCAAAAGTGAAAGAATGGCTGTTTACAAATTATGATTTCTAGTTTTGTAATGTTGCAATTTACTATTAATTTTGTTGTTTTACTAATAATCAAATCATCAAACGTTTTGAACATTAATTTTTTGTTCCCTATTTTCCAAGTTGTATTTACTTACATTTTGGGCCGCTTCGACAGTATATATCTGAAGAGACAGGGTCGGGTCCCTCCAAATCGTTGAAAGGTTCGAATTCGATTTCCTGTTGGTCTTGTGGCAACAGTAGCAGAGCAAGAAAATAACCAAGATAATTCCGCTTAACATCGCCCTAGAAGAAAGAAGATAATTGTTAATAATATCTTTCTTGAAGGCGCGCTTGTTGCATTAATATCGGTGATTTCTTTTGTTACGGCAACAATGTTTAGTTTTTTCGTTTGCCACAGTTGGCAGTACTTCATCTACTGTAAGTATTGTTTTTAATTTGTAGCATGCTTTGGGATAGTGGTAGTTGCGCGAGTGGCCAGTTCTATAATGGCAAAGTAGTTAAGGTTAGATATGAACCGTGGGTGAAAATGTTTTGATGGCTTCATGTAAAAATATGTGATGCAAAGTACGACAAAGCCCAAATATAACTGAAACTGAAATTGTTAAACCGGCTTTTGAGGAAAATCATTTTTTTTTTATTATTTTAATCAAATAGACCAAAGCTGATGTAAAAGCTGGAACTCTTGTCATTCAGAGTTTGGCTGACAACTTTTTGGAGTTAAAATACAAAAGACAGCAAAAGACATATTAGAAACTTTGGAGAGAACCTACCCAAGAAAGGGGATTTAGATGCAGGTTATGCTACAGAAAAAGCTAAGAGGACTTAATTGTGTTGAAAGTATGGTATATAAAGTACATTTTTCACTCAGTTTGATAATGCAATGTGCGAGTTGAGTTCAGCAGGAGAGAAAATAGACGACTGTGAACTAATTGTGCAGTTATTGTCAGCAATGCAGCAATGCCTGAGATTTATCGGAGTGTCATTCCGGCCATTGACATAATCTTTTGCGAAAACTAAAAAGGAGTGGACATAAATTTATTTAAGAATAAGTTAGTCACAGCAGAGCAAAGCAAAGGAGGGAAATATCCCAAATAAGGTTTTTATTTCAACATATTAGAAGGGAAATTACAGAGAACCTGGTAGGTTTTTTACTAAGAATTTTATAAGTTATGGTGGAGAAAATATTAGTCGAAACAACTCATACACTACAAATACTGGAAGTTTTCCTTTTAAACGTTATTTTTGTGACAAAGTAATTATAAACTTCAGAGTATCCCCAGAATAGAAGTAGAAGTGGAAATCATAGAAGATTTAACTAGTAGTAAAATACACAAGAAGTTCAAAGAGAAAATGAAGAAAGTGTAATATTTTTGTCAACAGAACAGCCAGTAACATAGCAAGAAAAAATTGTCAAATACAGTGGAGTTACAATCCACTTGATAAGTACTAAATTGACACAGTTTGTGCAAGGTAGTAAGGATATTATTCATTAAATAAATGTTGCAAAACCAGAACAAACAGTAATGGCAATTAAATAATAAAATATAGAATTAAGAGCTGAATCTATTTGGAAAATATAACTGAATCTGTTATACAGACTTTTTGTTAAGATTGATCGATAGGGCCTCCTACAACTATGTCCTATATAGCTTGTATGTCGTTTTGTTAACATTTTATAAATTAAGTTTGGTTCACCGCATTTTACTTATAAAATAGTTTGTGTGCCACAACGTGGCTTTAACAATATAAACAAGCGGTAAAAAAAAACGTTCGTCGTTGCAACTCCGTTGAATTCTTCGACAGACTCTACCATCCATTTTATATGGTAAAACGATTTAAAATGGGTGACAAAATCAATACAATCAACAACAATAAGTTTGATGGACGTAATTATCATAAATGGAAATCTCTAGGCTGATATTTATTTTACTTGGCGCAGTGCCCCTGAGCATGTTGCCCACATAAGTTAGTATGTTAGGTTGCTTCATTCTATGCAAATTCTGTGGTGGAGCATTGCACATGGCGGTTTAACCTCCACTCGCTCGTTGCAGAATCCATTGCATTCATCCCAACAACTCTGATATAGTTTTTTTTTATGTGACTTTTGTTTCGGAAGTGTTTAGTGATCGTTTTAAAGTGTTTAAGCGTGCCGGTCGCGCTGTTTGTTCTGTTTACACCGGTTGGAAGACGGATGGGCCCGTATGGTCCGTGGAGAAAGCGAGGAGGACCCGTTTTTTTCTTTGGTAGCGATCAAAATCCTTTTTTGCTAGCTGAGAAAAAATATTGGTTATATTTCTTCTGTTTACGTGGTGGTCTGTGACTAAAAAAAAATCTTCGGCGGATGACGGAAATTGGACCATTGACCACAACAGTCTTGCCCAGCCGAGAGCGAATCGTATTTTCTTTCTCTCTCTCATGCTATGCATCGTGTGTGTGTTACGCAGGTATCGCCAATGCAGACAACAATCAATCATTCTTTTACTAAATAATACTCATTTTTGATGCTTCTAATAAACATACGTAATAATAACAACCTATATAATAAAGTCAAACTTGCTTGAAGCTCCAAAGGTATTTATGAAAGAGTAGACGCTAAAATCAAGAAACCAGAAAGTCCTGCACACATGGAACAAAAGTGATGCGTAGTCATTATTACATTAACTACGGCAATGGATTTTGTTCAGCACGTAGCAAAAATTGAAAATGTAGCCAAACAAATTAAAAAGAACCGAGAAACTATCAGTGATGCAGCAATAATGATATACATCTTCAGTACACTTCCTTACAAATTTACAAGTCAGGTGGTCCCTTGACGAAACGAAACAAACAATTTCTAACCTCACTGCTAGAATATTTACCCTTCTTTCTGTCTAAGACTATTGCTATAACATTACATTATGACAAAATGACATTATCAAACTTTTACCTGTCAAATAAATTGTGGATTTTCCTAAAGCTGAATTAGTTGAAATGATTTATATACAGGGTGAGGCGGAAAAACACGTGTTGGCAGTAAGACTTTACAAGGAAAAGTACCTACCCTAATAGACGTATATCAACTTGAACACAGACTAGACCAATGAGGAAAAGAAATTTTAAATTTTAGTTCAAAATCAGGTCGGTAGCCGTCAAGAAGTTAAAACAAATCGGAGAGTATAAAAAATGTTATACTTCATAAAAGTTGCAGGTTATAGTAAAATCCTGCAAAAAAAATAATAATGATATGGAGAGAGTTAAGAAGTATATTGCGTAAACCATTTACGTCATCTTTGCGTTAATATCAAATATGAGTGGGCGCTATTGTAATGTTTTTGCAAGTGTGAAAACTATTATTTTTTAGAAAATGTATAATACAAAAGAACTATTAGGTTTAGGTGTGCATTATTAAAATTGATGAATTTCAAAACGAATTCAAAACTAAACTTAAAAATAAGGTGTTCGTCATGTACATCCGTCATAGCAGACGCAATGTAAATAAAAACTCAATACTGCCCCACTACCAAAAATCCAAAAAAAAAAACCCTGAAACTAAAACATCGCGAAATAACATTCAAATTGATCTATTAAGAAACACCACTAAAGCTGATATAAATGATGCAGAAATGTTCGTCCGCTTTTTAATTTTAAGTCAAAAGTCAAAATGTATTTAATATTATGAGAGAAATTTTTGAAATCGCCAACAATGTATCTTTTATATGACTGTATATGAAAACGGGAGCTCTTTTTGTTCGGTAGATGTCCTGTTGTAAAATATAACAGATACATATTGGGAAAATTACTTCGTAAGATCGCTCAAACAATACGTCCCACGCAATCAGAATCGGATTACTTTTCAATATTTTTAAGTGTTCTATTTTGGTCTTGTTCACCTTTTCCGGGCACCGGCTGGCGTGTTTCGTTAAAAATTAAAACCCCAATCCGGACTGCGCCCCTATTAATTATACCTGAAGTTTATAGCAAGAAGTCTATGTTTTCCGTAATCGATGGAACATTATGCCGGCGCTTTTCTTAATTTCGTAATGACCGGCGTCTCAGGTTGCTTATTCGTGAATTGTGATGGATAATTATCAGATTTTCTTTACAGAACCGTAAAAATACGTACGTTGAAAAAAGAATCAAAGTGAAGGTCAACTAAGGGACTACTTTTCTTTGGAAAATAGATAGATTTTTATTTCTCTGAATTGCTATACACAATATATTTACAGCAAATCGATAAAATCGAATTTTCGAAAGTATACGCGCTTGGCAACGAAACTCATATCTCGGAAACGGTTTAATTTTTTGTCTGTTCTCCGTTCTCTGATTTCTATCGACGCTCCATAGAAACGCGAATAACTTCCGAACGATTTGAGTGAGGGAGCTGAAGTTCTGGTGCTTTTAAACTGGTCATGAGACACATGGCTGCGATCAGAAATTGACATCTATCTTTTTTTTTCGCGATTTTCTACTGTTTTGCGCACATCGCTATGAAACGCGATAAGTGTCCGAAATTTGAAGCTATCGACTTCATATTTGGTAAGCAAGAGCGTGTGGTCCCCTAACGGAAAATTTACCATAACTGAAAGTATGCGATTCAGAAGTGAATTTTGCTAACACTTTTGCATTTGAGGTTTTTACCTATTGTACAGGGTGTTCGCGATATACCGGGCAATATTATAAAACGTAATAGGTGCCCTAAATTTGCAGCTATCGACTTCGGATTTAGCAGGGAAGCAGGAGTCCAGACCCACATTTAGTCCATTAAAGTTGGGTGCGATCAAGTTGGCCAAAGTATCTTTTAAAAAATTTTTCTTTTTTTTTGGGGTTATTTTGGTTTCCAGAAAAATATTATTTTCGCCAAAACCATTATTCCGATCTTTCAAATTCTTTAAGCAACAGACGCGGAAGATCCAGTGCTATAACTTTTATTTTGAGCATTTTTTTGATTATATTCAGGGTTTTTCAGTTATTGACAAGAATACAAAAGACCCTGAAAATGTTCCGTTTCCAGAATAAATTATCAGCCTTAAATCAAAATTCTTAAAAAATACGACTAATTGGTTTAAGCAGTGTTATAGGCCACATCGAGAGCAACAATTTTGGTATTCACGGTTTTCGAGATATTTGAAAACATCCAAACGGAAATCGCCATTTCTCGCCTTCAATTTAGACGCGATGGTATTTACTGTTACGACGACTGCATGGTTTCAGGGTAAATTATTGGCGATTAATGACTAACTGTTAGAGATGAGACAATTCAATTACATCGATTTTGCGAAAGTTCCATAGTGGTCAGCAGGAGCATGATAGAAAAACATTAAGTCCCTCAAAATGCCCGAATTGACTTCTTTTTAAAATAAGAATCTGATCTCCCAGCGACGATTTTGAAAACTGAAATTATAAAAGATAATTGTTCTTTTCCAGAGTAAATTATTAACCGCGAATCAAAAATCGTAAAAAATATGGCCAATCGCAATCGCCAAGAGCTACAATTTTTGTGTTTACATTTTTCACACACACTGTTCTAGATATTTAAAAAAATCCATACCTCGGGTTCAGTCAAGACGCGATGACGTCATCGATTATTACGACGACCTGCATGGTTTCAGACAAAACTTATTTTCGCGAAAACCATTTACTCTATCGGAAAAATTCTTGGACCAGGAAACGTGGGAGATCCGGGGCTATGACCTCTATATCTAAAATTGTTTCAATTATGTATAGGGTGTGTCGATTATGGGAAAAAATGAAAAAGTATCTGAAAATTGCCGTTTTCGTTTTTTACATTATTAGCCTTAAATGAAAAACTATAAATCATAAAATAATTTGGTTTAAGCATTATCGTGAATTATGTCGCGAGAGAGTGTCAGGTTTCGTACAGGGTGCGCGAGATACTTGAAAAAATATCATTGGAAATCACTGTCATTTGTACAAATGTTTATATTTATCATAGTTTGCCGTGGCTTTGAAGTTTAGCGATACGTGAAAGACTCTTCATACTGGTGTATGCACAATATAATTACATCGATTTTGCGAAAGTTCCATTGTGGTCCGCAGAAGCACGATAGAAAAACGATGCGTGGCTTTTTTGAAAAAAAAAAAAATCAATAAATTGTTTTTATGATTTTAACTTTCTTTTAGAATTGTGTTGAGTATTTCATGATGACTACTATTAGAGAATTTATTGCATTTTATTGCCAAAAAAGACTGGGCCTTTTCGACACCCTTTCTTATATATGAATAGATTCGCAGAATTGCTCAGGGTAAACCCACACAATAGGGTATTCTCAGTAAATGCAAAAAGCTCTTTGATAAATTAATGAAATAATATTCCGAACAAAATGCGATAGTCCAAAGGGGTGGCAATTTTTAGTATCTTAGATATCGTCTAGTTGAAACGTTCTTGCTGTCTTGTTTTGTAAAGTGAATTGTGTGCATGTCTGTCTGTTCAGTGTTTGTTAAAATCCCGAAAACCAACTTCCAAGTGTAAATTTTTCATATTTCATATTTTCACTTTTTTTTCTTTTATCAGCAAATGGTAAAAAGGGGGACCCAATTAATTTAAAACAAAAAAATGTTCCAATTTTCGCAGTTATTTATTGGTTTATGACAGCTGTTTCGGCAACACCGTGCCTTTATCAAATACAAAATATGAAAATATTCCCACATCTATACAAGGTCTGTTCAACTTTTTTAGTTTTATCAAAAAGTATGTATTTATTCATCAAAATTAATGTTGTCCCCTCCAGATATAAAACACATGTCCCAACGTTTTTTTTCCAATCTTCGAAGCATTTCTGGTATAGCTCTGAGTTCTTCTAGCGATTTTTTCTTTATCTCCTCAATGGTTCCAAACCTCCTTCCTTTCATGGGTTTCTTGAGTTTTGGCAACAGTCGCAGGAGACCATATCTGATGAATATGGTGGGTGATGCATGTTTGTGGTTTTTTTTTTGGCCAAAAAGTTAGACAAAAGCAACGATCAGTGAGCAGGTGCATTATCGTGATGAAAAAAATGTTTTCCTGCCGTTTTCTTCATATTGTTCCTCGCAAACGGCGCATAAATTCAAGGTAATACTCTTTATTGACCATATGACCTCGTGGTAAGAACTCTTGATGGCGCCACGATAATCAAAGAAAACAGTAAACCAAAGTTTGACATTTGGTCGAACTTGACGTGCTTTTTTCGGTCTTGGTGATTCTGGGTTCTTCCATTGGGACGACTGGGATTTGGTTTCGTCATTATAACCATATACTTATGATTCCTAATCAGTTATGACCTTTTTGCTCAAAATTAAACGGTTTCGAAACAAATTTTGCTGCAACACGTTCCATACCCAAAACTACGGAACGAATTGCATAGACAATAGAGATGCCGACGTCTTCAGTCACTTCTCTAATAGTGATTCGACGATTTTTCAACAGCATTTGTTTCACTTCTTCAACCCTTTCATCAATTATTGACGTGCATCGGCGTCTTCTCCTCCATCCTGGACCAGCTTGTACCACTTATAAACACAAATTTTATGCAAATTCTTTGTTCCATTTTTTTTGACAGCACAAAATCGCCAAGCACAAAAAACACGTCTAAAGCTTCAGTCTCACAAAACAAAAGTAGAAGTGCAAACTGGCTAAAACCGTGAACATATGTTAAGAACATGTATACTAAACATACCAAAAAAAAAATCGAATGTACGCCCAATTACAAAAGTCACCTTACTTTTTGAACACACCTCGTATAAGTAAACATGTAGTAACAGATTCTTAATTACAGTGTTTGGTAAAAGTAATAGATCCCAATCCTCACAGCTTCCAACAAATTTAATTTTTTGCTTTTTGATTCATTATTTAAGTTATCAAAATTATCGTCAGACTTTTTCGGAATCGGAATTTGTATACGCTCTTTCTTGTTCGTTAATGCGTTTCTTAAATATTGTCCCTTGTTTGTCCGATATAAATTTTGGGACATGATCCCATTTCAACTTATAGACTTCGGATTTTTGAGTTATTCGTGATTTACTTTTATTGTTTTTTTAAAAACATTCCAATGGTGTTTTCAGTTTCGAAAGCAACCTTAAGAACAAATTTAGATAAATTTTGGGTTCGGTGTTTAATATGGGCTAGACAGAGTTCAGAGTTATTGGAAACTGTTTTTTAGTTATAATCTTATCTATCAAAGAGGGGTCGTAACCATTGTCAAAAGCTGTTTGTTCTATAATATTTAATTCTTTTTCAAATTTCTCTGTGGATAGTGATATATTAAGTAGTCTGTGAATAAAAGAATAAAAGACAGCCATTTTGTCCATGTGTAAGGATTTGTGGTAATGGAAAAATGTAATTTGTTCTGTAATTTAGTTATAGTTAAGTCCAGAAAGAAAGTTTGAAGAGGAATTTTAATGTCTTTAACTTTGTTGATTACTTCTAACGAATTTTTGATAACATATCTAGGTTTAAAGGCAAAATGGTCTTCTAAAATTTTTATTAATCTTGTTGAAAGTTTAACTGATAGTGCTGTTACAAAAGAAAAGGTTGATGATGATTGATGATGATGATGTCGTTAAAAGGTTGTGAATCTGTAATTAAAGTTTTGTTTGTTGTTGATATATCTCGGTGGGATCATATTGTTTGTGTCTGTTAAATTTAAATGTATAACCCTACAACGGCAATTACGAATATATCTATATTGTTTCTGGACATAGAGGAACCATTGCACATGGCGGGTGTTTGTTCCAACCCGGTTCCAGAAAAGTTAGAAATCGGATGAAGTTTCAAAAAATGTTGTTCAGTGTATCTTTTAATTGAATCCTTAAAGACGTAGTGCCTATAGCTTTGTGAATTAGTATTTGTTTTACGCAGATGTCTATGGATTTGTATTATATATTGGTCGGTTTGTGGATGTCTTATATTCACGCTTGTATCCAGGTTAGATGGGATCTGATATATAGATGAATCGGTCGGCATTTTAAAGTTATTTTAGAAGTTTATTCCTCTGTATCATTATGTTAGCACAGCTGGAGGATGATAGAATAGTCCGGACCTTTTCTTTACGAAATCATCTTTTAGGAATTTTTGAATTATATTTACTGGTATTTGAAAGTTGGCCGAATGATCTTTAGTGTCGTGGCCATTAGAACTCAATTTGAGGTAGATTGCGGAAAAGTTTTAGGTATTGTTAGGCCTGTAAAATCCTAAAAAATATTTCATAAATTTTTATAGGCAATTTCAATATTTTCGAAAAACAAATGGATTTTTATAAATTAGAAACACACTTAATTCCAAAACCGAAATACTGTGCGACAACTTTTGTAGAGATTGAGCGAATTTTTTTCAGTTTTAAACATATGTTCACAGATAAAAAACGCAAATTCCCTTTTGGAAATTTTGAAAAACATTTAGTTATCAGTTGTTTCTATAATTGCAAAGAATAGTTTTGGTTAGTTTATTTTATTTATTTTTTATTTATTATTTTTATTTTTATTTATTAGTATATTTTATTCATTTAGTTTATTTATTCAAATTGGAAGAACTCGTTCAATTATAAAGAAATAATTCTGGCTTTATTTAGACTATTATTAATGTTTATAATTGTTCATATAATAAAAATGCATTTCGAGTTATATATTCTGAAAATTGCCCATATATGGGGGTTTTTTGCTTGCATATTTCCGCTCCTTAGTAGTCACAGACAAAACTGTAATGTATTGACATGATTGTAAATAAATTAAAAAATTCGAATATTAACAGTATGTATACGGATGCACTTACCCTCCCAAAATGATGTTTACCCCATGCACCGGGGCGGGAGAGGACCCTGGCGAGGGGTTCATGTATGACTGGTTTAACTTGTCATCGTGTAGGCCAGATATAACGGAAAATTTCTTCATGGAAGCTTTACACCTAAAAAAATACCAACAATTATTCAATTATATTGACTTTCACAAACTGGTTATTTACATCTTTATTAATTGAGTTTCCATATTCAAGAGTGTGATTCCTTGGGTGATCTAATGAAAGAAATTTAATATCAACATAAATATTTACTAAATATAATAATAATAAAAATCTTTATTGTCCAAGAGATCCATTTAGAAGATAAAGAAGATTTAGATTTAGATTTATATTTAGAAGATCATTCCAGACGTCAATCAATAATTTCATCAACTGATAGAGAACACCTTTAATTAAAAAATTGGTTTTTGAAGTCACTAGGTGAAATACAGGTGTCGCCCTTATAGACCTTGAGGGAACATGGAAGTTTAGCGGGCTCAGCAACTCAGGGCAATCCACTAATGAATTTGAAAGTTTATATAAAAACTCCTACTATTCAACAGTGAGGGAACCTTAAACAAAGTATGTTCCCTTGCAAAATCTCTAGAGTTTCTCACTATGAATCCCAGCATTTTGAGTGCACTTCCACAGGACAGGACAGTTTTCTGTCTAACGTTACACCCAGGTCTTTGAAATTGTCACATTTTCTCAGTAATACGTGATCCAGAGGGTGACTAAAAGTTGTAGCATCAGTTTATCTGTATTCAGGGGTAGGTTACTAGATGCACACCAAGAACGAATAATCTCCAAGTCAATCTGCAGAGACACACAGTCGACTAGCAATTATTGTGAACAATTTCACATCATCAGCAAAGAGCAAAATTTGACTATCAATATTAGCTACTATATCATTAATGAAAAGCAAGAATATCAATGGCGCTAAATTGCTACCCTGCGGAACGCCGCTACTCGCCATGAATATAAGCGATGAGTGACCGCAGAGCTCCACATAATGTATTCTGTTATGCAGATATGACTTTATGAATGCCACAAGGTCATCACAAAATCCAATCAGCTTTAGTTTAGAGAGCAACAGTGTGGTTCATCCGGTCAAAGACTTTTGAAAAGTTTGTGCATAGCACATCTACTCGCCTTTCGTCGTCCAAAGCCTTAGCAGTGAATTCTGTAAAGCAAGCCACATTACTGATTGTACGACCTTTAAAAAAACCATGTTGTTTGTGGGTTAACAAGTGTTTCATTTTTATTACTTTATCAGGACCACAAGATACTTTGGTCTTAACTCGTGCTAATGCTCTTAATATAGTGTCCTCAGGTAAGTGATCGATCATAATAAATGCATTAGAGAATCCATTCAACTGAGAGATCTGCTGTTGAGGAGTATTGTCTAGCCTCCCAAAAAACATAGCAAAAGCATTAATAATCTCTTCAGGGCTGGTGTAACCCTCTTCGCTTAAGTGAAAATCCCTGGCAATTCCGTATTTGAAGTTGGATCCTCTGTGACTGCATTTTCGGCCTTAAAGATTTGTATTTGCGTTTTTGTAAATTGGTTTGAAGGCTTCTATTTTGACAGTTGAGAGTCATGCTGATGAACTCTGGCATGGACTCTTTTGTGACTCGATATGGGACGAAACTAAATCAAGTAGTCTGTTATGGCTACTTAAGTTGATAAAAAGGTTAAGTTGATAAAAGCTCAGGAAATTCATAAAACTATTAATTAATTCTACCTTATGATCACATTCACTATCTGTGCTAAATAGAGGAGCATTGAAGTCGCCGAAAATGATGACTTGACTGTTGGTAAACAAACTCATGTTATTTTCAAATTACTCAAAAAAACTCACCCAATCAGGTTTGCTAGTACAAACAACCCACCAGATCTACTATACTAATATTATTCCCAATCATATTTAAATCTACAGCAATTGCCCTAAAACCAGTCTTAATCGCTGACGCCCCCACCATGCGAAAGACCAACACTTCGAATATCTTAAACGCCTTAAGTTGCTAACTTGAAAATGAATTTTTGGACATATTTTTTTCTATCTAAACATCCACTAGTATGAACGCCACTGGTAAAAGTGAAAAAAACGATTTGTTGTCCCAAAAAAAAAAATATTCCAAACACGGTAGGAAGAATAAATATTTGTTTTTTTTTTAACCGAATTTGCTCCAAACATGAAAATAAATAATTTTAATTTTTATAAAAATCAGTGGGCCACCATTCTTCTGGTCAAAAATATTCGTTTCAAACCCTGTACGAACGTAACTGATAAAAATATTTAAAAAATCTTTTAAGTCGCAAAATACTCCTTGATGGTTAAAAAGTAGTAGAACTTTCACAAATGTAGTTAACAAAGTTTATTTTTTCAGAAAGCTTTGAAACGTCGAAAATTACCGAAGTTTACTACATATGTCTATATCAGTATTTTTTTTATAATCGTCTAAGGATTCTCCCTCTCAGTATCGTCACTCAATTAATAAACGCTCCATATATACCGGGTTAACACAAGAAAGTGGGAACACTCAATAATTCTTAAACGGCTTGAGATAGCTATTTGAAATTTTGAAGGGTTAATATAGGCTAAATTTCCAATTTTTTGACAATATGTCAATGGTTGGTTTGAGTGGACACGACAATAACTTTCGAATTTTAAATATATTTTTTTGCATTTTTGGATGCGGGAGATCATTTTACGTAGGATATGATGGTTTTTCTCATTGTCATAAATACTATTTACCTGGTCACCTGATGATGGGAAAAATTGTAAATGAAACTTTTCTTTACTTGTCTAATGGCAAATAGCATTTAACGTAGTGAACTATTAATTTTTTAGGATAACCTAATTTTTCAAATGGCGCCCTAGTGGTACTTTTTTTGCAACATTTTGATATCCAACTTTTCAAAATCCGTTGAAAAATAAGCTCAAAGGAAGGAAAAACCACATAAGTAAATACATTTCTATAAATACAAAACATTACTTATCATCAAGTCGGCATTAATGAAAATTCTGACATTTTGTACATTTCTATCTGATAATCGATTTTGTCGCGTTATCAACTTGGATTATCATGGAAAACAATAATCAATTTACAAATGGAGAAAAAGTGGACATGTTTCTGATATACGGGAATGCAGAAAAAAAGTATCTACACGCCCGTGCATTGTATCAACATCTCTAGATAATCTGTGAATAGAATTTAAAAAAAACACGGCTATCATTCTTTTAAGTATAAACTTCATCAACAACTTTATGAAGCTAACTTTGTAAGATATTGTAATTTTATTGTCAAAAAATTGGACATTCAGCCTATATTAACCCTTCCAAATTTCAAATCGCTATCTCAAGCCATTTAAAAGTTATAATGTTCCTACTTTCGTGCGACACCCGGTATACAGGAATTTATCCAAATTCGACATATTAGCAACATTTTATTAAACAAGATTGAAATTGTAGGTTTTATTGTTGGGGCAGTTGATAACTTCTGCAAAGACTAGGGTCGAGATGATATATTTTTGAAAGAAAAGAACATTGTTAGTCATATCATTAACCTACAATTCTCTTCGGAATCTGCAGTTTTGTAGACTAGAAAATGCGAACACCAAAATCTTGGATCTTTTTTTAAACAAATCTGAATTTAACAAGTTAAACACTACCCACTATTAATATTTTTTAACAATTCAAAATCAACAATAAATTAATAACAACCTTGCTGAAAAAAAGTAGAAATGCTGTGATCCTTCAGCGCTTCTACAGATAGACAATTACTTAAGTAAAAAGTAATAATGATACTAATTCTCTGCATGCGGTCATATTAACGATATTATTGTGACCATGCAGAGAAGAGCTTCTTATTTATTTTTTTTTTATTTTTGTTTATTTATTTATTTTATTTTTTTAGACAGGTGAAATTCGGTTCGGTCCGCCACTGGCATATTTAACAAAAATTGTGGTACATTAGATAATGCATCGCTGTGCAAAGTATATGTGCGCTAAATTTCATTAAAATATATTTTTTTATTTATTATTATTTATTTTATGAAAAGTTTACCACCCTGTATCTCAAAAATTAAGACGTGAAAAGATTTATTTTTAAAATGAACCCAAAAATCGCGCCCTTAATTATTGACATAGAAATTAGAAAATACCCTGTATATAAATAGATTAATAACCTGTCTGTATACTGCGAATATAATTTTTAAGTTTTTTATGCAAAGAAACTCAATCTATCTTGGTAAATCATCAAACGCTTTTGGTACATCAAAATACAATTTTCAGGTGCTATAGCGGTCTTTATAGTTCTCGTCTCATAATTATGTACTTGATTAGATAAAATTATTGATACATTAGATTTTTGGTCATTATTTAGTACTTTGAATATTGATTAACATTTTTCGATTTGCAGTATGTCGTAATCATATAATATTCTTTCTATTTTGTGTCGTAACATTTATCATCTTTTGAAAATTTGTTCCCGATATAGGAAATACATATAAAAAGCGAGACATAAAACAAGCATTGTAGATCACGTTCCTGTTTTTTTTTAAGATTAATAACGCTGCATTTAAATATTCCAGCGATCATACAATTAATACAATTAACAGAGTTAACCTTAAATATCTAACATTACTTACTAGCTCTAGATGTGTAATTTATATTTATCTTTACATTTTGTATTTGTTTATTTTTTTGCTCAAATACCATAGATTTTATTTATTTTCATTCATTTTTAATTTATTAGTATAAAACCAATCCACACATTTTCGCGGTTGGCTTCTCCGCATAAAGCATTTTCGTCTGCACCTGCGTGCTTTGAGATTAGTAGAGTTCTCCCAACTCTATACCATTTTTACAAGCCAGGGACCTATTTAAGATGTTAGCCGACAAGAACTGTGCCGTGCAGTGTTGTCTTTTAAGAGTAGGATTTAAAAGTAAGAATAGATTTTTCATTGCATGAACTAATAGTAATCTCACCGATGAAACTCTACACAAATCCGTCAGCTTTAAGCATTTGTATGCAGGAATTACCGAAGTACGATTCTGGGACATTATTATGGAGTTGGGAATCTATTTATTCACGGTTACAGAGAGAAAAATTTACCAAAATTA